CTAGGTGAGCGAGGCAGATAACTATAGAACCGAAAAACTGAAGCGCCCTCGAAGGAACGCAGTACGAGGTTGCCGTTGAGACGAAAGACTGAAGATACGGTGTCGCAATGCTCTAGGCATACTCAATTTCCATCCCACGAGAACCAACGATGACATCATCGTGGATGACAGAAAACTCAAGAGCGGCTCCGGACACCTTGAGCTTGAAATCGAAATCGAGCGAATGGAAGCTTCTTCCGTTCTGGTAGCGCACCGGCAGTCCCTCGACTGCAAGCGGCGTCTTCCATCGAACATCTTTTAGCTCTATGACCGAGTCTTCTCTTCTTGCAGGCGGAATCTCATCCGCGCATACATAGATGGAATCGGAGATATCTTGGACACCGAGCCGATCAAGTGCGAAAGTTCGGCAAAGAGACATTGTCACGGGCTGGTCAATCTTGATAGAGTCCCCCTGTGAAGGCGTTAATGAACAACACAATGCCAGGGGTAACGAGTAAGGATGTGTACCTTCTTGATCACCCAGTTCATTTGATTTCTTGCCTGCCAGATGCCCCTGACGTCATTCCAAAGGCGGTCGCGTTCATCATGAGTTCCGTTGACGAAGAGAACTTTCAAGCACCATCCATAGCTCAGGCGGGCGATGCGCGAGCGCACGTGGATGGCTTGTTTGGTCAATCCATGGCCAAGGGCACCGGACAAAGTTGCTCCGCGACAGACGGCTGACCAGCTAAGCGGGGAGGCAAACATTAGCATATTATCATGGGCAATCGAAAGAGGGGAAGGATTGGAAACCCACGGTCTCTCTGACCGAGCTTGAAGCACATCGGTGCTACAGCCATGGCGCTTCTTGAGGGAACGGAAGAGGTAAGGGCATCTTCCAAAGCCTCCAACGAGTATGACGAACTAGAAGCAAGTATGTCAGTATGGACAAGGTACGTGACGTGCAAAGCCTATCGAACCGACCTTTGCATCCTGTTGCGTCTTGGCCTTGATGGCATCCAGTTGCTTCGACACCAGAGCATAAATGCGGGAAAGCACGCCGTCGAATACCTTGAGGATCTCATCCCTGAGTGCCTTGGCATTAGCGGCAGGCCAGATGTAGGTAAGGACGGGAAGGTAAGAGATTTGGTGATGACTTACGTCGTTATCTTTAGCTGGCCTCGCTTGCCTCGTTTAGGGAGGTCAACGACGTAGGGCCTCTCGGTGCCATCGAAGTCGCACTTGATGCCGTGCTCCCACTAAGACTGGCATCAGCACTGCGGTGAACGCGGGTTTGGAAGGTTACCTAAGGTAGGTGATACCTCGTTGTTCATCATCTTCTTGATGTCGCTTGGATCCAGCTTCTCCCAAGCCTCTGACCCGACGCGTTTCTTGAGGAAGTCGCCGAAATCCTGGTCCAGGAAGGTGGCACCGCACAGTGCTCCTGTGCAGTTGGTCAGCTCAGTGGCCTCTGTGCCTTAGGTAGTGAGTGGATTCGAAGCTCACCGTCTCCTTCGACGCATTCGGAAACCTGAAGGGGCTCGGCTTGGTTGACTATGTAACTTATGATGTCGCTGCAAGTAAAAGTTAGTCGGGTGTCACATGGTGATTACTTGGCCACTTACACAGTGCCTCCACCAGCGTCGACAACCACAAAGCTGTCACCGACTTCCAAGTCCTCTCGGCCATCGAGTTCAGGGAGAGTAGCCAGCGCGGCAGCTTCGGGCTCTGATACGAACGATAAAGTCGTCTCACCTGCGGGGCGACTCTCTAGAATTCCAGCGTCTTTGGCAGCCTGGCGCATCAGGTCTCGTGCATAGTCTTTCCAGATAGCGGGCACTGTCATGACAACTCGTATTTGGGCCCTTCGAATCAGGAAACACCCTTTCTCGGTCTCGATCTCCTCCATTATATGCTTCCAAAGCTGTTTCAGATAGTCACCGACCACCTGGACTGCTGTCTTATCCAGCTTGTCCAGCTTCGCGCGCGCATACTCAACATGGGGAGAACCTCGCAAGTGAGACGGTAGGTCGTCGGACTTGAGCAAAAGAAGCTTAAACCATTGGATGGGCTCAGCATCTGCCGGGATGTTATAGCCCCAAGTGATCCTGCCCTCGTCGTCGTAGGATATCCGGGAAGGAACCTTCTGCCTGTCGGAGTTGCGCGCATAGAGCGATAGCCAACGGGTGACGACTTGGACGTCACATTGCCTGGGTACCGACTTGTCCCTGCAGTAGAGCCAGGACACCCCGGAGAACCTGTGGGAAGCGAACGTTAGAGCAAGGGGACAATTGCAGCATGATGGGAGGGGAAGATGTTTACGTGGTGCCAAAGTCGATGCCAATGTACAGCGTGCTCTTGGATTTCTGTTCCGCCATCGTGTGAAGCGGCTTGCGAGAGGCCGGCTGGATGAAGCTGTGCGGATCGTTGAAGTTACCAGGTGCGTTTTTGGACGGACAAGTTGGATTGACGATGGGATGTAGCCGCCTACTTGTAGGGTCCGGGGATGCGCTGCAGCTACGACGAACCAAGGTTCTGGGTATTTCGGCATGCACAAGGTTGCCGAGAAAAAAGGATTGGAGGAGAGAGCTGGGCAGCGGTGATGGTGGGAGAAGGGTCGGGAGGGGAGAGAGAGAGAGAGAGAGAGAGAGAGAGAGAGAGAGAGACTGAAATGGCGACAAGGCGAGGGCGCAGGTTGGTCGATGCCTAAGGTAAGGCAGGATGAGAAGGTAAGGCAGGATGAGATGCTAACAAGGACACCAACCTGGAAGTTTTGGGTTTCTTTACCAGGCTGTGAAGGCACCAAACGAACGGGAAGGTAGGTAGCATGGCTACTTCCGCCTCAAACGGGTTTAAGCCAGGGTGCCTCTACCCAAGTCCCCCGCGCACACAACCAACTGGACCACCTTCACTTCTGTCTAAGGTAGCTAGCCTCAACTCCCACGCCGCGAACCACCTTCACCCAACCGTTATTTCCACAGTACGTCTCGAAGATCCTCGCACGAGTCGCCTTCTAACATCATGAGGTATGTAGCCTACGTAGAGGAGATGCGCACGTTCAAGGAGGCTTGGAACATTTGCTCCGCGTCCACCTCGTCTCAGAACCCCACAAGTACCGAGATGCCCGAGCAGAGCACCATGGCAACCGTAACCAAGGAAACCGCCAACACCGGCCCTTTGGCCCGGGTGAAAACCGAGGGCTCGGCGGACAGCAAGGTCGTCGATAACTTGGACCCCAACAAGCATCAACAACATAGACGATGCAACTCCCCAACTCGGCAGCCAACTGAAGAGACGATGGAAAGTACAGAGAATCACTTCCTTGCAGAACCCAAGTCGGATACCGAAGACACGGACGAATACATTGATTGCCTTGAGTGGGAACTCGCAGACCTGCAGCATAAACACAAGGCCGTTTGTAAGAAACGTGCGGCAGAGTCTAAGCGACACAAAGAAGTCACTCGCCAGCAAGCTGAAGACGGTCAACATATGCATGACAAGCTGGAGCAGCTTCAGGCGACACTCGGGAACAAGAACAATGAACTCAACAACTTGAACCTGCAGCTGGACGAGGCGATCGAGGAGATCGAGGAACTGAGATCCTCGCAGCAGGCATTCAAGATCGACGACGACCAGCTGGCTTCGACTTGGAAGCAACTTCAATATCGTATTAAGAATCTTGCAACCCAGCACCTTCACCGGCTCGCAAGTCCGGAGCTCATGCAGTTCAGCACACAACAGGTCACGCACAATCTCTTCTCGAAACTCGGCGTATTCATCGAGACAAACCACATTGAGCTATTCGCACAGGCCCTGATCTGGTACTTTCTGACCGAACACATCCTCGAGAAGCCAAGCCAGATCTTGGGGCCTGAGGTCTCGCGGTCTGTACAGATACTCTCTGGCACTGTTGACAGTATGTTTGCACCCTGCAAATCTTCTTCCCTTTCCCCATTTCTCAACGCTAACACTTTGGAACTAAAAACAGGTGATCACGGCACCCAGGAAAGCCTCCAGGCTTACCATACCTGGCGGGCGCAGACTGGACAACTTGTCGTTCGCAACCACGGCGTCGATCGCAACCGAGACACGGCTTTGAAGTCTCAGCTTTTCCTGCTTCTTCTCCCTTTCGTTCAGAAGCGGCATCTCGCGACCGTCATTGAAACGGTCAATGAGCTGATGGACACAGCCACGGACATCGCTAAGATCTTCGTGCAGTCAAAGCCAGCATACCGCAGCGTCATCGCATCGGGGATGCCGTTCAATACAGACACAATGCAGGCCGTGACCAGCATCGTTTCCGGCACCGTTTGGATTGCAGTCTCCCCAAGCCTTCTGAAATTCGGGGACTCCAAGGGCCACAGATATCACGAAAGTATCGTACTGGCCAAAGCAGCCGTGATAGTCGACGGTGAATCCTGAGCGGCAAACGACCACTCCAAGGGTGTTCACACCGAGAGATCAACTGGTAGTGTTGCTCAAATTTCTCGGCCAAGAACGAGAGCGAGGCGTCCTCGCCCAACTAGGCTTTGCACATACATATGCGATGCTTTACAAGTTCTCCAAATAGGGAGGCAAAGAGGTCTACTCGATCAATACAAGCCCAATTTGCTGCGAGGAATCTTGTTTGGGTGACATCTCGATTTCGTAGCCATGTATGTGTGCACCTGTGATGTGTGACAGTGCCCATGAAAGTGCACCGGTAGGGAAAGGGACAGCAAATGAAAGGGTACGATCCAGAGTCCTCCAGAGTCTAATAATAAATAAAATCTGACACGCGCTCTCACCACTGTACGGGTGGCAGGTCGCTCATTCCCGTCGCCGACCGCACGCGAGTAGTAGACGCAGAGCTAAGAAGACCTTCCAAAGCTCCCCGGCGATGCTGGCGACGCTGTAATAAGAAGGCGCGTGCTAGGGAATAATCTTACAGAGTACACGCCGGCTACATTCCTGCCCTGTACGTACGCCGTACAAAAAGAGGCCAGGTGGTGATGGAACAGGAAGCTGGAAAAGCAAAAAGCTAGTCTCTCCGAGGTTCGAACTCGGGACCTTATCGGGTTTCGTTGTGAACGATACGTCATAACCAACTAGACCAAGAGACTGATGAAACAACCTTGTAAACTGGCTGGATGCTAAGTTGCGGAGAATTTACACATTATATTACCTGTTTCGTGGGTAGGGCCCGTACGAGTCACAGAGCGGAGATGGGTGCGGAGAAGCTTGTCCGGATTCGCTTGAACCCTGTGACCAGCCTCGTGCCACACAGAGGAAACCCTTCCGTAAATTGATATGGGCAAGAGGGGTTTTACACTAAAAGCAGTGACCAGAGCCGTGTTGCTCTAGAGGTTTGAAGCACATCTTTCTTACCAGAGGTTGATGTGCTTGGGTAAGTTGGGCGATGAACTGGAGCAAGAATGACTGACAAGGCGCGTCGCATACCTAATTGCCGCCGCAGTGCCCTCTTCGCACCAGAAGCTAGCAGCTGGCAGTACCGCGACATGGCGTTTATCCGCAAGGAATTCCAATTTCCGGCATCCCCAAGCCCATAGGCGCGCCGCAGGGTTCCCACCTAGGTATGTAAGACTCTGTGGCCGCTTGATCCAGGTGTCAAAGAGCGTGGCAAGGCTTGAGCGGACAATGGCTTTGTCATGTGCTACCTGTACCGAAACAAGCAGCCTTTCCCATCGCAGCGTCTCGAACGTTTCAGAACTGCGTGTATGTTTCTAGATGGGAACAGCAGACCACTGCACGATACAAGAGGGAACGATGCGAGGGAGGCGCCCGTGTGGCGACCGCCCGCATGCCTCCACGTTTGTGAAGCTTCGACCCGCCAGATCATCTCCTTCGCCTTGTTCGAGCTTGAGCAAAGAGACATGCCGGGCACGCCGCAGTCTGGCCAGGATGCGCAGGACGGGCACGCGGGCGCCGGTCTACTGGTGCATCGCCACAACCGCGATGGTTACACCGAGATACTCGTGCGTCAGCGCGACCACGAACCACTGCGCTGGGTGATCCCGCGCGCGGCGCGGCGCGAGGGGGAGAGTGTGAAGATGTGCGTGATGCGGGTGGCGACCAAGCAGCTAGGCGTGCAGTCGTCGCAGGTCGCTCTGGATTTCGTGCCGATGACGGAGGTCACGCATATAGGGCCGGCGACGGGGCCGGCGACGCGGGTGGCCGTGTTCACGCTGTGCGCCGTCTGGCCCGCGACGAGCCCGGGTCTCTGTCCGACGGAGCAGCAGGAGCAGCAGGAACAGCAGCCACTCCTGCAACAGGCGCCCGAGATGGCCACGGGAGAGCGAGTCGGCGCCTTCGCGTGGACGCCGCTCGACGACGTCGACGCCGTTGAGCTCTACCCCGGCATTCGCATTACGAAGGTCATGATCGAGGAACTCATCGGAGGGAAAGCGCTACAAGCACAGAGCGGGGGTGAAGATGGCAGATGTCTCGATGCACTGCTCTGCATACCCAGGGTCCATGAGCCGAGAGGTCCGGGAAGCCACAGACGAAAGGCTGGCTCGGGAAAGAGTGCCAGATCTCCGAGCATGTCCAGGTGAGCTCCTATCCTGACTACCATATGCAACTGCGACATGGCAAGCGACTGTAGGTACCGGTAGACAGTACCTGCTGCAGTTCATCTGCGATTTGGAAGTCGAGGCGTGTGGATATGATGCTCCCACATGAGTTTGGCGAGACTGTCGGGGTCCGGCCTCGTGAAGAGATAGAGCCACAATAATGAGCCCAGTCTGACCGCAATGTGTGTAAGTTCTCAACCCACCTCCCATGAGTCCGCGCTCTGTTGAATTTGACCCCTCGAATATTTCTGGTGGGATTATTCTGTCTATTGTGTCATGCGTGCTTATCCCATCAACAGCTTAGGTGGTGACTACCATATGACCCAGGACGCAGCCAAACTACCGTCCTGCGGGTGCTCCTGCTGCTTCGACAACGTGCAGGGCAACAATGGAAGGCCTTCCTTCTCACACACATAGACTTACGGCACCTTAACTACCGGATGCTGATCTGACTCTCCAACATCACCCAGCAGAATTAACGCGGAAAACTCCACGCATAAGAGCTCAGCACCCCGAATACCGTTCGCTGCGGGCCTCCGAACTACCTACTACTTTTCCTATCCAGAGTATCCAAGCCGTTATACCACAGCGTATCCTACGAGAATCATTATGAAAGAACCCATGGCCGAATACCACCACGCATCCAACACGCTCGCCGAAGATGGCCGGACCAGTGACACGCGAGTGTCGAAGCAGCTTCCAGTGTCGGTGCAGCTTCCTTCGCACGAGCTCGTCAACCCGCACGAAGAACAAGAGCACAACCCTGACGCCCTGGGGTCCGACGGGAACGAGTCCGAATGGAGCGAGTCCGACTGGAGCGAGTTCGACTGGAGCGAGCCCGACAGGAACGAGTCCGACTGGAGCGAGTCCGACCCAGATGATGATGACCCAAACGACGCAGACGACGAGTAGGAAGATGCGGACCCAAACTACCCAGACGACAACCAGGAAGATGCGGACCTATCCGAGTGCGATCATGGTTGCTGGATATGCGAAGATGGCAGTACCAAGTGTCGGGTATGCAGGGTTCGCATGGGTCGGTACATCCTCAGCTGCGTTCACTGCGACGGGGTGGCTTGCAGGCGATGTGTGTATGCGCGTATTCCGGGGGTTCAGCGAATCGTCTACCCTTAACCTAGAGCTGGTCTGCGACGTCTTCTAGCTTATTCCTACAAGTTCGCGTCGTCTCCCGAGGCAAGCCATAGAACATTCTTGACAGAAGCGATACTCGAATGTACCTGAGATCCAAGCGACGAAGTCCGTTCCTGGCTAGAAATTGTCGAGCCGCATACAGCTACCACACATCACTGGTTTCCGCTACCTACATTGGCCGGACAGAAGTCTGCATACATTGCTGCGCGAAAGAGTATTAGGTAGGTACTTTTACGGTGAGGTCGGCGTTACATGGTCCTCTGGACTTGGGTGCCTAATAAGGTAGGTAACCTTAATTCCCCGGGAGGAATGGAGTACAGGGGCCATGCCGCTGTCAGCCATTGTACTTACAGCGCGACCCCCGCCTCCATTCCAGCACCCTCCGACCGGGCGAGCAGGCAGGTAACGACTTCAGCACCTGGGTACGGCACATCCAATCGTCTTGTCTTCTGGATACTTGAAACGCACGTGACAACATCTCTTGGTACCTACCTGGTATGCCTACCTAGGTAGATAGTAAATCGTTGAACCCAGGATGACGAGAACACCCAACCGGATCGCAAAGTACAGCTATCACTTGTTAACGTGGACGGAGATCTGTAAGTTGACCTTGCTGAACTCCCGCTCTCGCATCGGTTGACCAGAAGCAGTGCCATGGCAGAGGTTCGCTTTTACCAGGGAATCCTAATCCTAGTGACAATCTCCGCTCATGCTTTCCAGGGACAATGAATTCATCACCACGGGATACCGGTGAGTGCCAGGGCAGCGAGCGGTATTCCGGGCGGATTCCTGGACTGACACCCGCCGTCTTTCAGCCAAGCATCGTTCTCGTACCGGTTGTCTCTTCGGAGCATATTCGCGATCCATAATGAGACAGGTCCGTCGAGTCGCATATTTCCCTCCCGGCCTCACATTGACACGGAACGCAGCAAATATCTGGTCGCATCTCCTAGGCGCCTGGTTCTTCGCCTCCATGCTCGTTCGATACGTGCACCTGAGCTGGAGTGACCCAGAGCTCAGATACCGAGACCTCGTCGTGCTGGGCATCTACACTGTCTGTGTCAGTGTTTGCTTTGGTCTCTCGACCTTCTTCCACACGTTCTCCGACCACAGCAAGGAACTGCATCGGTTCGGCAACGAGCTGGATCATCTCGGGATTGTGCTTGTCATGTGGGGGACCGGCATCTCCGGGACGTATTTCGCGTTCTACTGCCAACCGTCCCCGCGGAACGGTTACGTCTGTTTGCTCTCGGGGACCGCGCTGGCCTGTGCGCTTTTCACTCTGCAACCCAACTTTCGACGGCCGACTTTCAGGACCGCCCGCTTCCTTACCTACTGCCTTCTCGGCGCGAGCCTCTTCGCTCCGGTTGTCCACGGATGGTGCAAGTTTGGGAGCGATCTGGAAGACATGATGAGCCTGAGATCTTTCCTGGGCCTGGCTTTCATCAACTTCACGGGAGCGGCGGGCTACGCTGCGAGAGTCCCCGAGAGATGGTTCCCTCGTACGTTTGATCTTCTAGGGCAGAGCCACAACTGGATGCACATTCTAGTCCTGGTGGGGGCGTTGGTCAGGCTTCAAGGGCTGGTGGACGCTATCGAATGGTGGCGATTCCAAACCCATGGCATGGGCTTCTGCTCAAATGCTCAGTGAGAAGAGAGCAAGAGGCAGGACGGTTAAGACTTCTATGTTCTCAGGTGCGAGTGGTGGACGATGGTGATATGGGCCACATCTAAACCCAATTGATCTACCATAACAGCAACGCCATTAGTGTCGCAGGTATCCAATAAGCGACGTTTCTATAGCTTCCCATTTGGTACAGCAGTCGCGCAGCATCGCCGTGAAGCAAGACAGGTGTTCCCGTTGTGGCCGTGTCATCGATACTGCAGACGTTGGAGCACCCCTCCTCGTCTCCCTTCTTGTCACGCCTGGGCAGCTCGGTGGTACCGCGCACATCCCTTCTTTTATCATATCCGGTCGAGTTGTACACAAGCTCGATCCACTGAACTTGCAGTTGAGCCTCGTCACCAACGCTCATGTTACCGGTCCAGTATCCACCGTCCGACCAGGCATTGAAGATAACCATGCTAGGATCCCGGGGCGTCTGAAACTTGATAGAGGCCACATCTTCGCCATTGATATACCAAGTGGTATTGAGAGGCGTCCAGTCCATGCGATGGACAGCCCATTCCGCCCGGCTACGTCGGCCTGGAAAGGTAGCGTTGCGAGTAGCCTCGGGTTTATCAGACCCCTGTGAACTGTACGAAGGCTGGTTCGTATACTGGACCGCGTCGGGAGGGTCGATGGTCCTGATCTCCAGATCGGACTCTTGCACATGCGCGAGCTGATTGGGATCGCCGGAATCTTTATAGGTAAACAT